GCAGGTACAGCACTTAGTGCCTAACACGCTGCACGTGCTTGGTAAGCGTTAGCTGTGGTCGTATTATCCTAACTGGGAATAACAGTAATATTACGACTCTGTATAAACATCAGATGCTGCCTCTCGGAGCCATTGTCACTTAAAGTGCAGGCTAAACGTCTTCCTTACCTCAGTCTCTGGAGAAGCAGCTGCCAGGCATTTCTGAGCAGCTTCCTGAGTCAGGAACTGGGCAAACGCACAACCTGCAGAGAGAGTCCAAAACACGCTGTTTGGTTCCCATGTAAGACACCCATGGGCACGTTCACACATATTATAAGCGGTGTGCAAAGGAAGCGAATGTAAACCACACGTGCCATTTGTATAAAAATATGGCAAGTGAGATCCCAGCCTCCCCTGGCCCACCGGGAAGCCAAAGACAACATTACAGGTGGTGGCTGCCTGCCACAGAGTGCAGCAAGAGGCCCCTTCTATTCAGACAAGGGGCTCTGCTATTGGGCTACTAAATAAAAGGTCTGCAGTTCAAATCCACCAGCTGTTCTGCTTGAGACGCAGGGGCAGTCTCTTAGCATAAAGATTTACAACCTCAGAAACCTGATGGAGGGGTCACTATGAGTCGGAAGCGACTTGACAGCAGTGGCTTTGATGTCCTGGTTAGATGCTGCAGGCACTAGACCAGGGATCAAAGTCAAGGGCAATACCACACCTACTCTCGGTGAAGCTGCTTTATTTCCTTAATCTGCTGCAGTGCGTCTGAGACCTTCAGTCCCCCCATCTATTATGGATTAAATCTTGTCTGCCTCTCCAAAACAGTGCTCTAACTCCTACCATAACTGTGGCTCTAATCTCATTTGGGAATGGGTTTTCTTTGTTTTGTTAATGAAACAGGATTAGTGTAGGGTAGGCCTTAAATCAATCAGTAATATAAAAGGGAAGATTAAGCAAGCAGCAAGCAATCCAAGATGGGAGAAGATATGACTCCAACACACATGAAGATTTCAAGCAGAAAAGACCTCTCTCCAGAGCCAAAGAAGAGAGAAAGCCTGGCCCTAGATGTCCTGAATGGGACTGCCAGCCTCCTGAACACAAAAATAAATTTCTAATCATTAAAGCCATGCATTGTGCTATATTTCTGATAAAGCAACACTAGACTACTAAGATACTGTCTCTTTCCCTAACAAAAAGTTACAGGAAATGATAGGGCGGTCACAGCCTCACATTTAATGCTGTGTCATTTACTGACAGCCTTTGGGAGACTGAAAATGGGGAGGAACCACACAGACCTCATTAGACCTCACTGTCATCATGGTCACTGGGGAGGCATAAGGGGGGCGGCGCTGCCTCTCCAGGTGACGTCGCTGGCTTCTGTCACAGCAGCACAGCAGGATCAGAGGTTGGAAGCTCAGGATTCCATGCTCTAGAATCCCCAAGTCTCATCTCTGGAGGCACGCTGCCGGGACAAGAAAGCTGTCCTAACTCTGCCACAGAGATAAAGCATTTTAAGCAAATAAGTATATGCTACCTTATTTTAAAACAACGCACTTGTTATGTGTCAGAGAGTTGGACAATGACTAAGGAGGATAGAAGAAGAATTGATGCCTTTGAGCTGTGGTGCTGGAGAAGAGTATTGAGAATACCATGGACTGCTAGGAAAACAAACGGATTCATCCTGGAAAGGGTTAAACCGGGTGGCTCCTTGGAGGCAAGGATTCTGAGGCTCCGTCTAACTTACTTTGGACATGTTGTGAGGAGAGACCGGTCCTTGGAGAGGGGACATCATGCTTGGTAGAGTAGAGGGACAGCGCAGGAGGCGAAGGCCCTCTATGAGGTGGATTGATTCAGTGACTGGGGTAATCGGAATGGGTGTGTCGGAGACAGTGCGATTGGCACAGGACAGAGCAGAGTTTAGAGCTGTTGTACATAGGGTCGCTATGAGTCGCAAGCGACTCGACGGCACATAACAACAACAACAACATATGCCACCTAAGATGCATCTATTGGCTTCTTCCTATCTGGAAAAAAAGATAAAAGAGAAAAAAAAATCAAGCCTCAAGAAACAACTAGTCCACAAGACTAACAGGTTACAGGAACCCCAAGTCCACTTCCTGGGCACCTGGGGAACAAGTGGGGCTCAGCCACCACTGCCCACTGACTGAGACCACAGAAGGTCCTGGGCAGTAGGGAAGAGAAACGGAGAAAAAAAAAAATTAAAAACCGTAAGAAAAAAAAGACTTACTGCTCTGGCCAAAACCGTGGAAGTCTTAAACTAAGGCTTCAAACTGGACACTAAGCCCATCTCATCCTTGGGCAAACACCACAGGCCTATAGAAGGTGTGCTGACCCTCACAGGGAAGAGACAGTCAACCTGACGAGACCAACAGGGCAGCACCTGCCCCTAAACAAAGCGTGGAAGGCAGGAGCAGGAAGGCTAACGACCACAGGAGGCTGGGGGTGAAGAGAAGGCGCCGGAAAGTGGGAAAACACTATTACACCGAGGGAATCGTAAATGACGTCAAGGAACAAAATGGATATAAACTGATGATTGGAAAACAAAATGGGTCTTTAAACTTTTACCTAAACTCAAAAACAAATTCATTACCGCCAAGTTGATTCTGACTCACAGAAACCCTTAACTAGAAGTTGCCTGTCTCTTCCTCAAGAAGTGGCTGGTGGATTCAAACAACCAGAGACACAGCATGTTCTGCCACCAGAGTAAGACAAGAAAAACTCCTCAAGTCTATTTAATAAGACTTCAAATTAAGAAAAAGCCGTTCCCTGTGTTACTAACTTCTCTTTCTTGTTGTCGATGGTGTTAAGTACCGTCGAGTTGGAACCGACCCGTGGCTGACCTTCCAGCGGGTTTTCTGTGGCAGTAAATTGCACGGGAGGAGAGAGCCCACCTTTCACCCATGGAGCAGTGGGTTCAAATCTCATGTCTACAGGTCAGCACCGTAATTCTTACCACTAAGAAACCAGCACTCCCTAATATCTCTTTACACTCTCTGGTGGCCTAATGGGTAGGGAGCTGCACTGCTAGCCCAAATGTAAGCAGTTCAAATCTACCAGCTACCATTCAGAAGAAAGATGGGCAATCTCTTCCTGTGCGATTTACAGCCTCTGAAAACTCTCTGGAGGGTCAGCTATGAGTAGATATGGACTCGACAGCAATGTGTTTGCATTTTAGAGGGGTTTTATTTCCTAGAACTACAAGAGGGCTCCTTGGAGGCAAGGCTGATGAAGCTTCATCTCATGTATTTCGGGCATGTTGCTAGGAGAGGCTATTCCTTAGAAAAGGGGCATCATGCTTGGAAAGGTAGAGGGTCAGCAAAGAGGGAGATCCTCAATGAGACTGACTGACACAGTGACCACAGCAGTGGGTTCAAGTGTGTCACAGCTAGTGAGGATGGCCCAGGACAGGACAGGACAGGGGTCAGGGCAGCAGTCAGAGCTGTTGTTAGAGGCTTGCTATGAGTCAAGCTTGACTCGATGGCCCCTAACCCCACCACCACCACCATCATCATCATCATCATCATCACCACCACCACCAAGGCACTGCCCTTAGTGATGAATGAAATGGCATAAACTAACAGAAAGGACACGCGGGCAGGCCACACCATGGTCAGCCCCTTGGTAGCCATCCTTCCTCCTCAGACAGGCCCAAGTGCTCCCATGTCCACATCTCCCTGTCTTCTGCTCACAGCTCTGTCACAGCCCCAGTCAGGAGGCATCTTCCCAAAACAGACTGATGCCTCAGGAAGAAGGACCATGCTTCTTGGCTGTTTCTGTATCCCTAGCAACTGCCTCAGGCCTGGCATAAACTCAGCAGGAAGAAAGGCAAACAGGACAAAATGCTTCTAACAGGTCAGATGGACTATATACCTAAGACAGAGAAAGCAGGCTCTTCTCTTGAACGAATAAAATACCACTGGAATTTCCCGGGTCAGGGCTGGGTACACTCTGAGCATTTCCCTAAAAGTCTGCAGATGACATTTAGCTCTTCCAGGCAGTGAAATGGCACCGTGACAGGGAGAATCTGGAGGAGGAGCCCAAGGCTGTGTGAGTAGGCAGGAAAAGTGTCAGAAAAATTTCATGTGAGCCAGGGAAAGACAATGCATTACGAAAAGATAATTAAAACTCTGCTTATTAAGATCATTAACTCTCAGCTAACATTAAGAGATCAAGAATGAGATACTGCAACCCCATCAACCCGTTATTACCACAGAACTCAATAAGGGACCAAAAAAATCCCTGCAAGTGTTGACAGAGCACAGCAAGAGACGGCCAGTACCTGGAGAGTCTATTCAAGTCATTTTTAGAAAAGCATAATGAAAATGGAGACCATCCAAGAAGCTAGAGCGAGGGCACCTTGGTGGTCACACTAGTTGAAGCTCTCGGTTAGGGTGAGAAACGGAAGCCGTGGCTGGATGCTGGGCAGCACCCTCCAGCAGGTCTGTGGCCCAGCTGGATTAGACCCCTCCTCACCTGGAAGCAGCACTGTGCTCTTCCCATCACACCACTTTGTTTATATTTTGTTGACTGAAGTAAAAAAAAATTAAAAAAAAAAAATAGAAAAAATCAACCTCCACAAATGGAAAAGCAGCTTTAGAATGGGGGTTGTTAACCCACAGACAGGTTCGAGAGACCTCATTAACCCCCTAAAGTGGCATTTTTCTAGGGAAAGAGTTTGCAGCTTTTGCTGGATCTCAAGGCATCAAGATCAGAAAAGTTAAGGACTCGTTGCTTTAAGAGAACACCACCACCGTCAATGGGGTCAGACTATGAATGGGCTGAAAGATATTTACCTACTAGAGGCAAGTTCCAAAGAGCGAGCCTTGAGAAAGGGGACAGGCTGCGCCTTACTCTTCTTTGACTCCCCCCACGGCAGCAAAGTGTCTGTCAGCTTCCATCACTAACAAAAGCCACTCAGAAAGATGCCAGTAATTTCAAGCAACATGGAATGATTAATACCCAAGAGATGCTATCACATTTGCAATCCAAAGGAGAACAACAAATGGAATTCATTACCCTAAAGTAAATAAGCAAGGGCTTACAGAGCTTAGACAAAATGAGGGCTGGCAGTGCCGCTGCAGATGCTGAGTTTGGCACCGGGAAGACAACCTCAGAATGTCCTTGGTGCTTCTACAGAACCTAGAAGCCTGGCTGGACGGACACGGAACGCACACGTGGGACCCAGTCACACCCTTATCCATTCAGGGCCTGACCAGTCGACAGCCAATACCTTTGGAGTGCTCGGTGTCTGGATGCAAGACAATGCGAACATATTTGAGATCCCCGAATTGCTGGAGAAGCTCCCCAAGATCTTCTTCTTCTGAGTCAAAGGACAGGTTTCTGTGGAAGACAACCAGAAGGTCACAAGAAAGGGCAACGTTAAAAAGTGCAATCCTGCTTCTGACAGGAGAGAGTCAGGCAGGATGGCTCCGTCCTCAGGGTTAACACCAGGCTCAGGGCTGGCGCCCCGGCTCAGGCCTCTGCTGCATGCATCCGCACCACAGCCACATGGGAATGACCGTCCTTCGTCAACCGGTCTCTGAAACCTAACGAAGTGACCAAAAGTCATGAATATAAATTCACTTCAAAAGAAGTTGTTGATATAAATTCCCTTCTGAAGGAAACTTCCGGAATAGTGTCCTAGATCTTGCCCTGAGTAGGGTTACATGGGTATACAACGGAAAATGCTGCTACGCTCTGCATGTAATGTACATTACAGAAAATGTACTTTAAAAGGGCCATCTCCCACCGCCACCACAGAGAGAAGAGCCGCAAGCTCCGGAGGGGGGGGTCCCAGACCTGCTCAGTCTCTTCCTCAACATCATTCTTCAACAGTTCCACTATTCATCCAACAAACACTCCTTTTCATTTAAACTGGCCAAAATCAGTTTCTTTTACAACCAAAAGGGAGCTCTGGTGGCTTGTTGGTAAGTAATTGTGCCATTGATGCACAAGTATGCAGTGTGAATCCACTAGCTGCTCTAGGGAGAAGGACAGGCAATCTCCTCCCATGGGATTTAATGCCTCGGAAAACCTGCTGGAGGCTCACCTCTGGGTCACTTCCGACTCAGTGGTACACACCACCACCACCACCACAACAAAAGACCAAGGTTTGCGAGCAGAGCCACGCCTGGGTGTCTGTCTCGCCCTCTCTCTGAAGATTAACCATTTTCTCCTCTGTTACTCTGAAACCCACAGCCAAAATTCAGTAGAAGTCAGTGAATCCTTCAAAATAAAAACTCAAGAGGCAAACATGAGAAAATTTACTAAGTACAAAAAAGAAAACCACATATTTCTCCGAAAAAGATTAGGAAATACTAGGAGATTTTGTTCTTCTAAATTTCAACACAGGGTCAAAATTGTGTCTTTTCCCAGCTGTGGACAACCTTCCAAGAGTAAGAAAACTCTCTAATGTATAACTACACTTTTTTATTCTGCTGATAACCCCATAAATGTTTCTACCTCACAGAGTAACCCAGAGAGAAAAGGTTTTCTGAAATTAGATCCCCCAGAACTGCATTCAAGGTCCTAACTTGCCTTATCATGTACAGAGACTTTCCTCTTGGACCTCTTTATTTTCCTATGTTCTTTCTCAGTATAAAGATGTATCAAGGATGGCATCCTTGGTACGCAGGTCACAGGTTTCTGGGTATGATGTTTTTTCTATTAGATAAAATTCCCTACAAATACAAATTCATTTATATGGTAATTGAAAATAACACTGTAAAAAAAAAGATAAGGGAAAGAAGTACTATTGAAAAAACAGGCTATACACAGCACAGAGAGAGTCTAAACCTGTCCTGGGAAATATTTATGATGTGGGCCTATGTGCAGGTGTTTGCAGAACAGTGATTAAGAGGCATTTTATTCTATTTATTTAGTTACTCTATTTTTTTGTTGCTAAGTGCTGCTGAGTTGGAACCAACCCACAGCTGACCCTCCAGTGGTCAAAGGCAGTAAATCACACAGGAAGAGACTGCTCATCCTTCTTCCACAGAGCAGCTGGTGAATTCGAACCATGTGCCTTTGGGATTGCAGTGCACCTTCTTAACACGAGGTCACCAGAGTTTCCTATTTTGTCCATATGCAAATTTATTCTCTAATTTTTACTTAGTGAAAATTACTTGCATGATAAACTGATTTTACCTTGAAAGAGGATCAAGCATAAACCTCTAAAGTAAGACCCACATGGCCCCAGCACATTGGTCTACTCTTGTTCTTGAGAACGGAGACACAGGCAGGCACACGTGGGGTGGAGTGACAAGCTCCTGACAGGCTGAAATTGCCACCCTCTGGAAGTCAGGGGAACTAATGAAGCAATGGCAGCGGGAAGCCAACCTCCACCCCAGCTCCACCATTCTCCTGGAAACAGACAGGATGAATTACTTCCTTCTGAACACTCTAAGAAGGAAGGTAAGTATGTTAAGCATGAAAAGAGAACCTGTCTGGGACAAACAGTATCATCTCCCAGCATACCCCTAAAAGGAAGGCCAGAAGTTAAGTGTCTTGTGGCTGAAGGATCGATTTGTACCAAATGATGTCACCCAATTCCAAGGAATGGCATCTGGACGAGAACACGATGTCCAGGCTTTTGCTAATATCCTCCTGGTTACACTTGTGAATTGCCCACTTTTCTCATGGCTTTGGAATGTTCCTGAGTTCATGGTCTTAGAAGCATCTAACTTGCTGGCCTAGGCCACAAGATTAATGCCAAAAAAAGAGAGAGAAGGAATTTTTGTAGACAACACAAGTAACAGTTCTCCTAGTTGAAAAACATACCTGATAAAAACAGTTTTCCCTTCATTCACGTCAGAGGCTAATTTCTTCTTTTTCCTTTTCTTGGAGATGTGTGTATCTAAAGAAAAAAGAAAAACAACAAACTGAAAAAAGAAGAAATAATGCAAGCCACATGACAAAGGATAAACTTCTCAAAGTTCTAAAGATCTTATTTAAATCAATTTTGAAAATTTAATGGACGAAGGATATACAACTAAACAAGAGAGACTCCAGCTCACGCATAATTAAAGAAAAGCACAGAACAAGAAATAGAGACTACTTTTCACCAAAAGATTGACAAAACCTATAAAGGCAGATGGAAGTCAACGTGGCAAAAGTGTAGGAAAAAGATACTCCGACTCATTGCTGCAAGAGCATAAACTTTCTAAAAGAGAATCTAAAACACGTGGACTCTTGGAGGGGAAAATCAAAACATTTCAACATTCATGGAGATAGAGCATTTGAATTCCTGCATGTGTGTGCTTGCTAATATATATATATAAGACTGTTAACACGGGTTGTCTCTGTGGAGGGGACTAGCGGGTATGAAGATTTGCAAGAAAGGAAGACTTGCTTCTTTTTAAGAAACGTGCCTATATCACCACAGAAACTTTCGGGTAGGAAACAAATGCAACCCAGTTCCTCAGTAGGTTGCTGGGGGACTGGTAAGGAATTCTTCCTTTCCATACACGTTGTACACGTCCACACTGTGTTTATCACTACTGTTAGCTTTCACTCATCATCTGTATTAGTCCTACAACTTTAAGTACAACAGTGTTAAAGAGATAACTATGCCGGGGCCATGGTCCCTTCAGCATAAAAGCTTTCAGCTCTAAGGTGCGTATCATTTCCCCCTCACAGCAAGAGTTCATGTCCTCAAATTTCTTATATGCCAATCTTACAAAAATGAAAGGAGCTACTAACCTGATTGTTTAGTAAAAATTTCCACACAAATGAAAAGGCCAGTGATCGGCCATTCCTCTTTCTGCCATGGCCTGCCTTTCTCAATCAGCGAGTGAGGTTCATTCATGACAGACTCAATAAAGGTAACAACAGGAACTGGCTACAGCCCTATACAAAACATCCCATAGGTCTTTTATCCCATCTCAACTGGGAAAAAATATTTAAAATCCACTTTGCTGTTAAAGATGCACTATCCTGTGTATCTAGATCTTTATTCAAAGTGGAAAAGTCACAAAGAGAAGTGGTTCAGCACTTTGACTAGGCTTCAAATTCCCTAAAAATCCCTCCAAAGCTATTCTAAATTCATTTTTAAAACCAGTAACAACAAAGCCCTTTAGAAGAAAGGAAAGATTTCATCTTCAGCATTAAAACATAAATATGAAAAAAAATTTAAAAAAAAACCCAACATAAATATGATAGAACATTTCAGGTTCCTGTGTAAAAGAGGCTTGCATGAAAAGGGGGCCCATGTCTGAAGTCATGAAGTTCCCAGCGAACCTTCCTCCTCCTGCTCTCCAGCGTCCATGTCACTCTGGGCCAGCTCTTCATCATCGTCTCTTGACTCCAGGTCACTGTCCTCGTCGGACGGCTCCTCGTCACTGCTCTCTGCAGCCGCTGCTCTCTTGACCCCTCTGGAACGACACAGCTCACAACTAAAGACCTGGGCTGGCAGAGGCGCCGAGCCAACTGTCCTACAGTTACTTTTGCATAAAAGACACACACTTTCTCTGGTTTTTCTAGAACTGTGAAATGCTTCCCGTGCCAGCTTCCTGGGAGCACTATGACGTTATATGCGTGTGCACAAAATTACAGTACAAGTGCCCCTGCTGCACTGACAGGAAAAAGGGGGGCCCATTTCCGTCTAAGAGATCACCTTTCCTTATCGCTTCCGAACACGCTGAGCGGCTCACCTCTTCTGAATCGGCATCGGCTTCGCCAGCTTTGATTTTTCTTTCTCCTCTTCCTCAACACTGTCATCATCTTCACTTTCTTCACTGTCACTGGCCTCCTCATCTCCATCATCATCATCGTCATCATCGCCCTCACCCGCGTCGGCCCTGCCATTCTCTTTACCTGATCCCTGCTGTTTAGGATCAGGGCTCTTCCCCTCACCTAAAGGTGGAGGCAAAAAAAAGTTAAGAATTCTCCGTGCATCCAAAATAAGGTGATTTTTAACAAGAGAAACTAACATCTCAAAGTTCCTAGCTCCCCAGACTTTAGAGAATCTCACAAATTTTTTCAAAGCAAAAAATAAAAGAACAAAGCTGCCCCTCACTCAGATCCCTCTGGAGTCTGCCTCACTCGTGGGCAGCCCGAAGGTCAGTCTGGCTCAGAAGGAAGCAGCAGCCCCGGAGCCTTCGCCAGCAGAACGGAGTGTAGGCCAGGGCCAGCATGATGCTCTCACCAGGGTCCAGCCATGATCTTTCCTCTCAGCAAGGCGACCTCTGAGAGCCTGGCAACTCGAAGGCCAAATGGTTTCTAAACGAAACTCGAGTTTTACATTTCCTTCCCTCTACAGTTACATCACCTCCTGTTATGAAAACGCAGGAAAAGCCAGGACGTTTTGAAACAATGCACTCAGATCCCACTCCTCAGCACGCCCACGCCCGGGAGCGAGTTTAGACTCTCAAGATGCCACAGCTGGGCCCAGAGACCTCAGAGTTTCCTATAAGCTTTGATGAGCGTCTCTGGGATCATTTCTGAGTCAACAAAAACGCTGTTTCCTTTACCCTTACGTCTCTCGTTGGGTTAATCTTGTGACTTTGACATCTCTGGTTCAGTATCCTCACTCTGACAAGCGGGTTCCCTTACACCTCTGTCACAGACACAGAGCTGAATCCACACGCGCACCCCAGAACCCAGGACCTCCTACCCACACCACAGCCTACCTGAGACAGAGGCCGGGGCGCCCTGAGAGTCTTTATACTTATCCTTCGCCACAGCCCAATCCACAGCCACCGTCCGCCCTGTCAGACAGAAAGGGGTCTCAGAACGGCTCTACTCTCGCAGCATTTTTATCTCCTAGCCACCAGATACAGTAACACAGAATCATCTCGAAGAAGGGGATAGGTTCTTCCCTGAGACCAAGTACAGGAATATTTTACCACAGCAGCGAGACTCTTTCTCAACAGTGTAAAACAGTGCACACCTTTTGAAAATGCAGAAAGTGGGTCACTGTGCCAGTTTACCCAAACGCCAGAAAGACCGAGGCCAATAACTTGAGCAGAGAAAGCTTACCCTTTATCTCTTTCATGTTCATGCCTTTGAGAGCTTTTCCTGCTTCCAGGAGGTTCTTGAACTGAACAAAAGCAAAGCCACGCATCTTTCCATCTGTGTGCAGATGTGCGTACAAAGAAGTTAGTCAGCAGGTGGGGCGCCAACAGAAACCTCAGACTTCTAAGGAAATGACAGTTACTCAAGTGGTAAAATGGCCTGGATCCTGCCAACCAACCAGCTCTTCCCTGAAACAATAGCCTAAGTTCTCCTGCTGAGTACATCTGATTCAGGTCTGGGGAGAGGAATGCATTACCTCAAACTGCAATCAGTCTTTTAATACTACTTCTGATCTAACTACAACCCCCACTGGGGAATAAGCACCATTATTTGTGTTTTTATTACTTGTCAGAAACTGTCAGATACTTTGTATATATCATATCATCCCGGGCTCATAAGGAGAGCAATATAGGCCTTGAATTTCTATTCCAAATGGTGTTTCATTCAAGGGTAATAAAAACGTTAAAAAATCTTCTTCTCCTCCATTTATTCTCTTTAGCCTAACACACTAGAGTGACTGGAGTAATTGGGGTAGGTGTGTCAGAGACAGTAAGATTGGCACAGAATAGAGCAGGGTTTAGGGCTGTTGTACATAGGGTCACTATGAGTTGCAGGTAACTTGATGGAACACAACAACAACAACAACAACAGTGGTGATTTCAAGGGTAATATGGGAAAAGACATGTTAAATAATCTTCATGTAATCTAGACCAAGTACCTGGCTTCCTAGGAATGTTTACTTCTAGGACTGTTCCAAATTGACCAAACGTTGTCTTCAAGTCATCTTCTGAACACTGCAGTCAAAAGTGAATAAAGGAGAGATAAAATTACAAGTCTACAACACAAAACATCTACTAAGTCAGCTCGTTAGGAAGAGTCTATATACTTTCACTGAAATTGTTTTATTTCTGAAATTGGGACACCAAACATTTCTAGACAAAAGACATCTTACTCTGTAACTAAGAGGCAAAAAAAACCAAAACAGAAGTCAGGGAATTTTTTCTCAGAAAGTACCTTCAAAACAAATGCACCTTTACAACTGATGTCCTAATAGTCCTGGTTACCGGGCTACATTTTCTGAATTCCACATGGCTAATGTTTGTGTCCTTAGAAATTCATCTCTCACCTACTCTGGGCATGTCAGCAGTAGGGCTAGGCCCTGGAAACACACAACATATTTGGAAAAACAGAGGCTCAGAAGGAGAAGGCCCTCAGGAGGTGGACTCTTACAGTGACTACAACACGGCTAAGTTTACACACGGTACAAACTGTGAGGGCGGCGTGGGCTCTGCAGGGCTTCATTTGGTTGTGCATGAGCTGGAACTGACTCACGACACTTAACATAACAACAAGGTCCGTGCCCAGAACAAACAAAGCCCAACTATGTCACCCTCATGAGGAGATGCACCAGAGAGCATGGGGCAGCTCCAAGAGCCTTCAGAACAGATGGCTTTCTTGAGCCACTTACCTTAAAGCTCAGGTTCCGAATAATTAATCTGGCTTTCTTATCTGCCACTTTGGCTTTTTTAGGCTCCAGTGTCTTCTTTGGGGCCTCTGAATTTTCTAAAAGCAAATAATAAACAAGAAGCAATGGAGTAAGTTTATGTTCCAAATCCACCACCTGAGGCCCAAAGCTTCAGAGGCAAAATGCTACCAGCTCTAGGCGGCACTTACCACAGGGACAGGTGTGTACCCCAAAAAGTACAACTTTAATCTAGTGTGCCTGGAGCACCAGTTTTCAGACTTACACAGTAAGCAAAGGATTGTTGTTGTTGGGTACCATCAAGTTGGAATCGACTCATAGCTGGTGGGTTTTCGGAGACAGTTAACCACATGGGAGGAGACTGCCCATCTTTCTCCCACAGAGCAGCTGGTGGATTTGAACCATGGGCCTTTGGGATTGTAGCACAGTTTCTTACCATAAGGCCACCAGAGCTCCCAAAGAGAGAATTAAGTAATTAAACACACCAAATGATTTAAGACAACAAAATGGACTTCAGGCCACCTCGAATTCTAGCAGCTGAGGTCAACACCCCTCTTCCATCACCACACCACTGATCTTCACCATGGGGGTAACCCCTTCAGTTTCCAGATACTCACCATTTTTCCCCTTGTCCTTAGCCTTGTTCTTTAGTCTTTTCTTGGCGACAGTCACACTGATCTTGCTGCCTCCAAAGGTGGTAATCTCCTTGAGGGCCCTCTGAATGTCTTCCGGCATCGAAAAGGTGACATAGCCAAAGCCACGGCATGTCTTACTCCCTGGAACGGTGTGGGAAGAAGGACATGGGGAGGAGAGATGGTAGTTAGCCAAAGGCCTCACAGCAGTAAATGCTCAAAGCTTACACCAGCAGAGGGAGCAGTGGATTCTGTTAATTCCCAGGGATGGACCTCCAGTGCAGTTACCACCTTCAGTGGAGATTTGCATGCAGCTAGCAGCCTTCACTGGTTTCAGTGGCCCTTCTCAAGAAGTAGGCAGACCAGGAAGAAAGGCCTGGTGAGCTACCTCTGAAAAACCAAGGTGTGAACACCCTGTAGATCACAGCCATCTGACTCAAGGGCAGCTAAAACAGTAGAAGATACACTGCAGACCACCTGTAAACCAGCTGGCTAGCAATCTCAGGAAGGAAAGAAGCAAGGTTGCCATCAAAGACCCCTTCCTCCCTTTGCTTAGAAACTGCTGACTTCCTCAATCTCCCATCCTGTGTCCCTGCTGTTGGCTCCTGTCTCTTCTTTGCTGACAACGTCAAGAACACAGAGGATCCACAACATACATGAGACCCCCAAAGAACTCAACATTGTCACTAACAGGTAGGAAAGACAAGTAGACTTATCTTTGCATTCTTCTCAAACTCATCTCCTTCGAGTCAACACCAACTAATAGCTGACCCTCTGCAGGTTTTCAAGAGGCTGTAAACTGCATGGGAGGAGACTGCTCATCTTCTCCCAGAATGGCCAGAGACGCACTGCCTTGAGGTCAGAAGCACAGCTCCCTAAAGACTTACCCCACCAGAGATCCCCAAGAGAAGTACATTGTTATGTACTATCAAATCAGAACCTATTCATAGCCGACCCTCAATGAGTTTTCAGAAGCAGTTTAATCACATGAGAGGTGGACTAGAACCGCATGCCTTTGGGTTGGCAGTGCAACTCCTTGCCACGAAACCACGAGAAGCATCAAAATTAAGATGTAATATGGCACCTACCCATAGGAAACACATGAGGCCTTGATCAAAGGGCCATGAACAAGAAACACTGTTCAGGACCTTGAGTATTCTATGACTTATTACTGACATATCATCAAATTGATTCCTCAAACTGCTGCAGTTTCCTAGGCCATAATCTTTTCAATAATGATTGTCTCAACCTTCTACCGAGCAGAGTGTGGGTTTGAACCACAGTCCTTTCAGTTACCAGTCAAGTACGTAATCACTGTGCCACCAACACTCCTTTGCTCCCAGGACCCACAAATACAATGCATTGATCCGGAGAAGAAATCAGGGACAAGCAGTTACAAACACCGACTTACTCACCTCTGCTCTTTTTTGGCATGCATTTCGAGTTTGACATTTTTTTGCAAAGTGAAATTTTAAGTAAGTTAATCATCAAAAAAGGAAAAGTACTGATTGGTAGTTTGCCTGCTACCCAAAGAAACTAAGCTCACTATGCTCAATTACCACTGACTCTGCTTTAGGGGCATGTGAGCCCTTTAACCCAGGACACTCGTCCAGGTAAACGGATTCAAACTGACTCCGGGCACCAGGAAAGCATACTATCTGGAAATAGGTTCCCCCGCAAAAGTCTGCCCACTCCTCTTTGAGAACAGAGCAACAATAAAAATCTGTATCCCTTTCAGTAGTATTAACATAAAAACAAACCAGCTGAAAAGGAGAAGGAATTCAATGTTCAACTAAAAGCATGAACTCACACCAAGTACCATGCATTCCATGTGTACACAAAGCCCCTTGATTTCCACTACTTGAATCCTCACAACCTGGAAAGTGATTCTCATCTTAAAAGAGTAGGTAAGTGACATGCCTGAGTTCACTGCTGACTGAGAACTAAGCTCACCAAATACAGCATCTCCGCTACAGCTTAACTATCTGGATAGCGAAACGGGGAATGTTTCTACTGGGGAATAAGAGCTATCGCGAAGGAGTTAGACTGAGCACACCAGTATAACGTTGCACACGGCCTTGATTCTCAGGCTCCAAAGCAGAATCCTCACTCAATGATCCTCCCTGGAACACAATCACCTGGCATGTACTTAAAAAAAATGTTTCTTAAACTGGTTTGACCAGAGCCCACCAAAAGAAAGGAAATTTATATTAAATTTCCGTACACATATATATTCTCGTTGTTATTGTGCACTGTCAAGGTGGAACGAATCACAGCTGACCCTCCAGCAGGTTTTACAGGCTTTATCAAACAGGAAGAGAATGACTACCCATCTTTCTCTCTCAGAACAGCTGGTGGATTCGAACTGCAGACCTTGGGGTTGACATCCCAACTTCTTACCCAGAGGCAACCAGAGCCCCCTCATATTCTCTATAGAATGTGGAAATGAAAATTTTGCAAATACTCACCTCTCACCATACATGAGCGTATTCCTTTTATTTCAATCTAGCTCGTTTTAAAACAAATTCTAGTCATGTCCCATCATGTCACCCGAATGGGCAACGACTAGCAGTATAAGAAGTACTGTCATAGGAATCTACTTAAAATGACAACATAATCAGGCAGGTGTCATGGCTTGTATAGCAATCCTGTAAGAGCCATGTTGACAGTCCTAAGTATAATCGCTTTTGCTAACAAATTAGAAGTTAAAGATGGGATGTGATTAGTCTGCTGGAGCCCTGGGAGCACAGTGTGAAGTGGTCAGCTGCTAAATGGAAGCTGGCTGTCTTCAGCCACCAGGTCCTCTGTGGTCGAAAGATGAGGAGTCGGCTTCCGTAGAGATTACGACCATGGAAACACCATGGGACAGTTCTTTCCTGTCCTACAGGGTCCTGAATCAGAAGCAACTCCAGTGGATTTGGTTTGGGGGGGTTAGTTAGCCTGTTTGCTCACATACTCGGACCCCAGGGGATGAGAGTCTAAGAGATTCCAGTTCACACCAGCTGTTCTGCTGAGCAGCAAAAAGCCACTCACACAGAGATGTTGGTGACGTGAGAGTCATGGATAGGATCTAGGGAGCCTCAGGTCTCCATCTTGGCTGCCCTTTCATAATCCATGGAAGAATGAATGGGGTTTTTTGGGTTTTGTTTTTTTTTTTATTGTATTATTTTTAGTGTACCGCCAAATCAGATCTGACTGGTACAGGAGGAGATTGCCCCTTCCTTCTCCAGCAGAGCATCTGGTGGATTTGAACCATGTACCTCTGGGATTGCAGTGCAGCGTCTTGCCACTAGGCCACCAGAGTTTTACAATCAAAACTCTTCCAATTCTTCCTCTTCTCTAACAGATGTCACCTCTGCCTCACAGTGTGCTGAGACCCTCACAGAATATGCAGTGCACAGGGGAAGCCTACACTTTCAAGTGGCTCAAGAAAAAAAAAAAAGAATCTTGGAGTCAAACCTGACTCCCTTTTATCCCTCATACCCCACATCTGATCCGCCTGCAAGTCCTCTCAGCTCCATCTTCAACAATATCTATATTCCAGACATTTTTAACAGCTCCATTGCTTTATCCAAGTCACCATGCTCTCACGTGGATGGCTGCAAAATCTAACTTCCTGCTTCTGTCAACAGCTATTCTCAGCATAACAGCCAGACGGGACCTTTTACAGTGTAAGCCAGATCATACCACTCTGTGCTCAAACGAAACCCCTCCAGTGGCATCCCAACCCAGAGAAAACACAGTCTTTGCAAAGGCTGAATAGTCCTCTTATCTGGTATCCTGTCCTCTCTGATGCTCCTCCTGGTAAAAGCCACATGCTCACTCTCACCACTTCACCCTGCCAGGTCACCTAATCTCAGTGGCAAGACTCTCACCACCTGCCCACCATCCCCTCACACACATACACAAATGCTTATTCCCACACTCCTTCCCTGACTTCTTTCTCCTTAGCAGTTATCACTATCATTGTGTACTGGCTGCCTTTCTCTAGTTTGAAAACATAAGAGCAATTAATTTTTTTCCCTTTGGTTTTGTTCACTACAACATCCCTAGGACCTAGACCACAGTGGGGCCTCAATTGTAGAAATAATAAATATACAAATGAACTGTTCTGGAGAGCAAATTCTAGTTGTAAAAACGTGAACTAAAGTTACTAAATGTCCCTAAGTCCTAGTTTCCTAGTTAGTAGAAGGAGCTTAAGAATCCCTACCCAATAGCCCATGTAAAAGTCAGCAATGTGCCTATCAAACGACTCTCAGTAAGTTTCACAAGCACTTCATAAAGGGAGCTATTATTAAGGTGTTCTGGGTGAAGAGTGCTGGTGGCACAGCGTTGCACTGTAAACTAAAAGGTCAGTGGTTCAAATCTATCAGCCACCAGCGAGAAAGTCTCCTCTCCGCTAAAGATTTACAAGCTCAGAAACTCGAAGGAAGGTCTCTATGACTCGACTCTACAGCAGTGGCTTTGGGGTTTACTGTCATTATAACCAAGTAAGATGCTCTGTGTAACAAAAAGCGCTTTAGAAACACGTTGGAATGCTGCGACTTCATAGACACATCTAAAGATCTGTCTAAAACAGGGCTAGTTTGAAAAGGAAAACTTAATTCCCAGGACCTTCTCTTAATCTAAAAACGAACTGCGGTCCAGTCGACTCCGATTCACTGCGACCCTGCAGGACAGACTAAAACAAGAACTAAGGGTTTCCAAGGCTGTAAACCTTTGTGGAATCAGCCAGCCATATATTTCATCTGCAAAGCAGCCGGTGGGCTCCAATCGCCAACCTTTTAGACAGAAGGCAAGCACAACCAGATGCCATCAGGGCTCCTCAATGTCCCCTTTTAAATGCAGTTAGGTAATTATATGTCTCCCTGAACGGGGGAAATGTCATCGCCTCCATCCTGCTTCCGGGAGACCCCAGCCCTGCTACCCTCGGCCGCCGCCCCGCCACCCCATACCTTTCTCAGTCACCACGAAGCACTGCTTCACCGGGCCCACCTGGCTGAACAGCTCTTCCAGCTGCTCGCTGCGGGCCGAGGGGGGAAGACGGCTCACGAACAGGGTCAGCCCCGCCATGAGGCTGAGAAGTCGGAGAGCTCGGGGACGCAGGCGACCAGGGACCCGCACGCGAGTCAATGCACGCGGGAATCACAGCAGCTTGCGGGCGCAACCGGAAGTGCTGTGTGCGTCGGCTAACAGGGTCCGGAGGAAAGTGTACGGGAATCGGAACAATCGTTCCGGAGTGAGAACCTAGGGCCGCAATAGGGGAGGAGTTCCTCAGACCCGGCCCAACCTCCAGTCCCAGCACCGCCCCCGTCTCCAAGGAGAAACTGCTTGGATTCTTCCCAACTTGCTTAAAGAGCTCACCTCCTAGATAGAACCAGTTCTCCACAGAGGAGGGAGGAGGGAAGTGGAAGGAGGGAAAAGGGAGGAGGGATGTGGGAGGAGGGAAGTAGGGGGAAGGAGGAGGAGGGTGGTGGGTTCCATCGAGAATAATTTATAGTGACCCTATGAACAACAGGATGTACTATCCTGTGCCCTCCTCACATGGCTGACACATTTGAAGCCAATGCTGAAGTCAATTTGAACCCAGTGTTGCAGTCACTGAGTCAGCCCATCTCTTTAACTGTCTTCCTTTCCTTCGCAGATCCTCTGCTTTTCTAAGCATCACACCACTTTCCAAGAAACAGCTTCTCCTAACAACATGCTCCAAGTGTGTGAGATGAAGCTTTGTCATCTTTGCCTCCAAGGAGCGTTCTAGCTACACTTTCTCCAAGATACAACTGTTTGTTCTTTTGGCAGTCCATAGGATGTTACTCTGCACCAACACCGCAGCTCAAAGGCATCAATTCTTCTCCCATTCCTTATTCATTCTCCAGCACTCACATGCATAGCAAGTAACTGGAAAGACCATTGCTTCAATCACGCACATCTTGGTCTTTGAACTGACATTATTGCTCTTCAGGACTTTGGAGAGATCCCTGGAAGCAAACTCCCCAACGCTATATGTCTCCTGATCTCCTGACTGCTGGTACCAAGGATGCTTATTGTGGATTCAAATAAGATTATATAATTGACAAGTTCTGTCTTTTCTCCAGTTAGCGTGATATTGCCTATTGGCCAAGTGCTGAAGATTTTTGTTCCCTTGATGTTAAGATGTGTTCCATATGGAAGGCTGTAGTCCTTTGTCTTCTGCAGCAAGCATTTCAAGTCTTGGCTTCACATTTGGTCAATTTCATACTGCAAAAGTTGGTAGACACCCTCAATTTCCTCATCTTTGGCTTCAGCTGTTAGTGTTTATATTTGAATAACAGCTGTATTAGCAAGTCTTCCTTGTATGTGGATGGATAGTATCCTATCACTCACAGCATTGTGCTTCATGGTAGATCCGGCAATGATCTTTTTAACTATGAATGTAATACCACTCTTCACCTTTTCATTCCCAGCATAGTAGATCATATGCTTGATTGTCTGATTCAAAGGGGCCAATTCCAGTCCATCTCAGTTCACTAATGAATAGCCTAGAATGTCTATCTTTATGCATTCCATTTCCTTTTATAACAACTTCTAGTTTTCCTATATTCATCCTTGATTTGACATTCTATGTTCCAATTATTAGTGGATGTTTGCAGCTGTTTTCCTCCCTTTTTTGTGACTTCCCAACTAAACTGTACCTCTAATACTATAGCTTCCTGTGTTACCTATGTTGTCCAAAGGGTTTTCAAAAGCCTGTTACCCAGAAACAGATGGCCAGCCCTCTTCCTAGTCTGTCTTAATCTGAGAGCTCTACTGAACCTGGTCCAACATGTGTGATGCTGCTGGCATTTGGAACATCAATGGCATGGTTTACAGCATCATCATGAATAGGAAAATCATGGGCAGGAAAGTTGTTTATTAGCAGACATTTAATCAAAGCTTTCCTTAGTATCTCCACAGATTCCTAAATTGAACCAATAGAACTGATGCATCACGTTATTATCTTGACTGTAGTCATTACAGAAGCAAATTGCTATTACTTTGGTCCACCGCTAGGTGGCGTCGAGCCAATAACCCCTAAGTTAATAGTTGCGCACAAACCACTTGCACTACCCAGGGACCCCAGTGACTGCATTTTCCAGAAATCACCAGGCCTTTCTCTCAGAGTGCCTCTCAGTGGACTTGAACTTCCAAACTCCCAGTTAGCAGCTAATTATCTTGACCATTTGCACCATCTAAGAACTCCAAGTCCGATTATGTGCACGGATAGCAGCCAGAACGTACATTATCATATGACATGTTGTTGTTATGTGCCGTCGAGTCGTTTGCGACTCATAGCAACCCCCTGTACAACAGCCCTAAACCCTGCTCTATGCTGTGCCAATCGCACTGCCCCGACACACCCATCGCGATTACCCCAAGTCACTGAATCAATCCACCTCATAGAGGGTCTTCCCCTCCTGCACCGTCCCTCCACTCTACCCAGCATGATCTCCCTCTCCAAAGACCTCTTTCTCCTTACAACATGTCCAAAGTATGTCAGACGAAGCCCCAGAATCCTTGCCTCCAAGGAGTAGCCTGGTTTAATCCTCTCTAGGATGAATCTGTTTGTTTTCTTGGCAGTCCATGGTACATTCATTACTCTTCTCCAGCACCACAG